TGCGGCTTGCAAGGAGCGGCTCAAGGGAGGAGTCAGCGAGGATGCCGCTCAGCAGTGGGGCCTCGCCATCGACATTGGCTGTGCCGCCAAGGGGCAAGGAGACTGCATAGGCGCAGGCAGCCGCAAAGGAGAGCAGGGCTGACCAGCGAAAGGCAAAGGCAGAAATGCTGGGACCGCGGGAGGAGGCAGGCACGACCCTCGCACGGAGGCGCGCAAGGAGCGCGGCCAACCTCCTTGTCGCCGCGCACGTCCCTGCCGACGCGGCAAACGCCATCGGCCTGTCACGTCTTACCGCGCTTAGCAAGCCCGGCGGAGGCGTCCGCAGCATCGCCACTGGCGACACTTTCTGGCACCTCGTGTTTCGCAGCCTTGCGCGCGGATGTTTGCTGACACCTGCGACGAAGCCACCCGACCGTACCAGTTTGCCTTACAAACCAGGGCTGGCACCGACGCACTTACAGGAACTCAGCAAGCTGCACGCCGTTGCCCCGGCACTCCTACCGTTTGTGCGCCTTTGGTACGGACAGCAGTCCACGTACTTTTGGTGGGACGCCGATGCGCGGCGGCGAACCATCCATCAGGGAGAAGGGTGCGAACAGGGGAACGCCCTGGCACCTGCGCTGTACGCCCTGGGCCAACACGACGCCTTCGTCGCCGCAAACGCGCAGCTGCGCCCCGGCGAATTCCTCGCGGCCTTCCTCGACGACGTCTACGTCGTCACGACACCGGCCCGAGCGCGCGAGGCGCTTGACGTTGTTACTTCCTCCATCGAAACCCGGGCGGGCGTCGCCGCAAACCTCGGCAAAACCCGGGTGTACAACCGTGATGGAGGGCCTGCTCCGCCTGGCATCGCCGACCTCGGCACGAACGTTTGGCTTGGCGACGCACCGGAGGAGGAGCGCGGGTTTGTTGCCCTGGGCACCCCGCTCGGGCACCCACGGTTTGTTGCCCACACCAATGCTCGTCTGCTCGAGGAGGCGAGGCTGCTGCAGGAACTGCCCCTGCTGCCCCCCTCCAGTGTGCATGGCTCCTCCTAGCCATGTGCGCCTCGCCGCGTGCTAACCACCTTTTGCGCGCACTCCCGCCCGACCTCTCCGCCGGTTATGCGCGTGGCCACGACGATGCCGTCTGGCGATGCCTGCTCGCGCAGCTGGGCGAACAATACGACGCTGATCCCGAGGTTGCTGCGGGACGTCGGCTCGCGATGCTGCCGGCCCGTTCGGGCGGCCTGGGCCTTCAGTGCGCCGGGGCCGACGCACTGCCCGTTTTGCGCGCGCGCCACCCCGATGCAGCAGCAAGGTGCCTCGCAGAACTCACTGCAGGTCCAGCTGCTGCTGCCGCCTGCTTGCGTGCTGCCGACGAAGCTGGCCGCGTGCTCGAAGGTGCCGGATGGCAGGGCCGCCCATCTTGGCACAATGTACACAACGGCCTGCGCCCCGCACAATGCGACTTTCCTGAACCTGGCGAGAGGTGCCAGGGATGGCAGCACCACGGTTCCCGCGCCTGCTCTACCGACTTTCGCGAGACCGAGCTGCTGCCTACCTTGCTACCCCCTGCCCGGGCCATGCTGCGTTCGCAGTCCGGGCCGCACGCGGCCGCGTGGCTCAGTGCCATACCGAGCGAGGCTGGCTCCGCTCTGCCGCTGGACCGTCTGCTCATAGCACTGCGGCGGCGGCGGCTGCGGTTGCCCTTGCCGGTCGCTCCACACAGATGTGGCACACACGGGCACGGTTGTGGCGCCGCTGTAGACGCCTATACGGCGATCACCACGCCGCGTGCCCTCGTACCGGCTTGCTCGCCCGCCGAGCCAAACCCCTCGAGCATGCTTGGGTGCGCATCGCGTGCGAAGAGATTGGACCCGAGGGCCAGGTTGTGCCCCAGCAGTGGCTGGCGCGCACGTCCGCCCCTGGCGTTGACCCAGCCGATCGCCGCCGCCTCGACCTTGTCGTCTACGGGGCTACTCCACTTGGCGAGGCGTTGTGTTGCGACGTCACACTCGTGTCCCCTCTCACGCGTGAGGGACAAGCCCATCCTTCTGCTGCCACGCGCGACGGCGCTGCCATCGTAGTCGCAGAGAAGCGCAAACGTGTGGCCTACCCTGAGCTGCTGCGACCCGGGCCGCAGCGTCTTTGTCTCCTTGCCTGCGAAGCTGGGGGACGCTGGAGCGCTGAATCCCTACGCCTGGTCACCCAACTCGTGCGACTCCGAGCCCAGCGCGCTCCTGCCGCCCTGCGCCCTGCCGCCAGGCAGGGCTGGCTGCGCCGCTGGTGGGGCTTCTTGAGCGTGGCTTTGCAAAGCACACTTGCTGCCACGCTGCTCGGAGCGCCGTACATCGCTGGCGCCCTGCTTGGCGCGCAGCACCCGCCACTCGAAAACGTACTGCACGATGCAGTCCCTCCCAGTCCCAGCCACCTCGGCCTGTAGCATGCAGGTTGCACGGGGACTTGGACTTGCGAGTTAGGCGGACGTAAAAAGGTGCGTGGAAAAAAAGCAAAGGTGGCAGCTTCAGTGCTCCAGCGGCCACCGAGCTCGAGAGCGAGAACGACGGGCTTGCATCGGGCCGCCCTTTCGGAGCTCAGGGTAGGTGCGCTCCTTGGCTTTGCGCGCGAACACAAGTGCAGCGCCGGCAGTGCGACCAGCTGCCCTGCGGTGGGCACCAGCACAGGTCAAAGGGGACACGAGCGTAGTGTCGACTGCGAGCTGCGAGCCCCCCAACGAGGTCGCGAAGCCGGACGTTGAGGGCAACAGTGGCGCCAGCTTCCCGGCAGATACGGGCGGCAGCGCACTCAAGAGGCCCTCCCCTGGCGCTAAGGACACCCGACCGAGGACATGCAGCGAGGTGGTCCCCGAATCGGTCGTGCAGTTGCCGGCAGCGGCAGCGAGCCGAAGTCAAGGGCGGGGGCAGGCGAAGCCGGCGCAGGAGCGACACACGGAAAAGCGGCGAGCTGAGGGACAGCTCAGGAGAGACCGGTCTAGTAGTGAAAACACTCGCGGCATGGGGGCCCGACTATGAATCCAACATAGCGAGGCTTGGGGCATCGAGCTCTCGGCGGATGGCACGGTGGCAGCCATCCAGGTCCCACCCGGGTCCCATTTTTTAGGCCGGGTCCCACACCCCGTTTAGGTTCTAAGCTTAAATGAACGGCGAGGCGGGACTTTTTTTTTAAAACCGACCCCAAAAATTCCGTGCTGTTCTCGTCAACCGGCAGATGCGGACTGACAGCATGCCGATGGTGGAGTGACCTTAAACCATGCACGGTTTTTGTGCATGGAGCTGCCTGTCGCGTTGTAGTCCAGGTCATGTCCCAAACGGTGTTTTTGAGTGAAAGCGTGCATGAACCAAAGCTGTTCTCATGAAGCACGCGCTGCTTCAGCAGTTGAGGCACTGTCGTTTGCCGTGTTGCTTTCCGAAGGTGGGTGAACGATATGGAGAAGAGTTTTTTTTTTCCAGCTGCTTGCTGTCCGGGATGCCAATGGCAATATCCTTTCACACCGCCTGGGAGCGGCAGACAACTCGCCCCGGCGCCTTCGGCAAGGTCCAGCACCCTGTCCAGGCAGGGCCCCGCAGTCGGTCCTGCTTGGAGAAGATTAGCATGGCCCCTAAGAAGTGTACCAACGTGAAACACACGATAGCAGGGACAGCTGCAAGCTGCAAGAACTACAAGACCAGAAGAGCAGAGACTACGGTAAGATTGTAAGCTTCAGGAACCAGAGGAACTCATTAACTGTGCATGAAGCGGGGCGCTGACACCCACGCGTAAGATCGACGGGGTCGGCCTCAGCCGACACAGGGGGCACCGCTGAGAGCACAGCATCCCACGTGGGGGATAACTAAAACACATCTCGGATTGAGGTGGCACCGGCCGTCAATGCTACCATCAGTTTTCCCTTCATTTGCGACAGCCTTCCCTGGCTTTCTCTGACGTTCACCCAGAGGCCGGTGAAGGCCACAGCAAACACATCCTGAGTTCTCGTGCACTCGTCATTGTCTCCATGTAGAAACGACTGTGAACCGCCAAGGCTTGGGCATGGCTCGGTGTTGCATAGAGGGCAGCTGAGTAAAGTCTGGTTGACGAAGGACGAACGAAGGTCAGGACAGGAAATGACTTGCACCAGCACCCGCTTTACCCATTCGGCTGCGCCTTGGACCACGTCTGGCAGCTGCTACGGTAAAGGCCACAACTGGAATCCTTGCACTGATTCAGGATCCTTATTGTCGTTGTGAAGAGTGGCAGAAATGCCGGATAAACCATCATTTGTTGACGGCTCGCAAAGCTTGACCCGATGCGGCGACACGGACATCCGAGCTCTGGAGTTCCCGCGGAAAACACGATGAAGGAAGAGGCACCTTGCCATAGTTGCATCTCGCGTCGCAATTCGGCAGAAAATCCGTCCCGACAGTCTGCAACATGCCATGTTACCGTGGCAGCCTCCGCGAAACTTGATCCACGGTTCAATGAAATTGTGTGCCACGGTTTGCATTCGCATTACGTGTGCCAGCATGCCATGTCCTGAGCCGGAATCACGGCAAATCATTCGATGCCAGCACAGCTTCGCGGTATATCGGCGCACATGAGCCAGCATCCGATCGTACTGCGACTTGCCGTATGTTCCGTGTCGATGTTGAGTTCTACGAAAAGTGCAAGGCGACGCCATGACAAGACAGCCATCAACCTCTTGCATGCATCACAGCAGGCTTTAAGCCGAACGCACTCTTTTGCTCTGCGAGCTGTCTCGGCTGTGACTTTGATGTCTCGAGTGAGCAGCATTCCAATCCATGCTATCATCTGGGCTGATACGACACTGGACTAGGCAATGACAACCTCTTTTTCCACAGTTCACAGGATGAAAGGATTCGGCAATGCAGCTCCCTTGGCATAGTAAGCGCGAGGAGCACGGCACTTGTCCGACATGGATCCAAGCGAGGAACAAGGCGTGAAATCGCAGTGCTACCTCTCGCACAACCGCCGCATCGAGGGTGAAGTGCCAAGAACACCTGCTCACTTCTTCTCGTCCTCCTCCTTGACCTTCGCTTTGCCCTCCTGCTTGACTTCCTCGGTTTGATAGGGTCCAGCATAAACGTCACAGAGTTGGCGGTCACATTTTCGATTACGATTGTTGTTCAGCTGTTGATATCGATGACCCTATGTTGCCAACACAGGGGAATGTTGGGAGGTCTATGTCCCCTACTTGGAGTTGCCCAGAGCTATCAGCTCGCTGCTGCCCCAAATATTCTGGTCCACTGTTGTTTCTTGAGGCCGTCTATATTTGAAGCAGACCCACTGAAAAAACCATCCAGCTGCACCCGATCTGTCATCCCGGATCCAAGGCAGTCAACTCATGCACGTGCCCTGGCACTTGATAAACGCTCTTTGGGGTATAGAGTACCAGACTTCCAAACCTTTCTTGTGCAGACATAGAAGCCGCAGCAAGGTAAGGTGGGAACCAAATAGCCTCCCCATACACTTGCTTGCTGAGAGGCCCCCTTGATGCCTGCGCCCTGGTCTTGCTTGGGGTCGCGGTAGTAGCCAAGGCCACGCATGCCTTTGCAGCGGCAACGTGGAATTTTTGGGGTGGCCAAACAGGAACCGGACCGAAACCATGAGGGGTTCACCATGATTTCAGCACCCTCATCTACATACACCACCTCCACCTCCGCGCTTGCACAGAAAGCTTGCTGTAGCTTCTCGTTGCTGTCATTCTTTTGGGTGGCCCCCTGCAAGGCAACCTGCGACTGTTTAGTGGTCAGCAGGCTTTGCGTCCGGTTTGGTTTAGGGTTTCCTAGGCAACACCCACGGCAAAAGTAGGTGACTACACTCGCGAGGACACGGATACCCCGAAACAGCAACTGCAGGGTACCTCCTTAAATTGGAGATACTCCGCATGTTACTCATAGTCCGTGAGCTTCAACCCTAACCCTGAAACAGAAAGACTACAACTTAAACCCAGGACTTCAAAGCCCCTTTCAACAAGCTGAGGCGGAGGCTTCAAAGCTCAGGTTGCTACAAAGTCTGTAGAAAACCCTGGGCAAAAACACGCCCGCCAAGCATACCACCACGAAGACACACAACGACTACTATGCAACAGAGAACATGATACAGTGTCCCCCAACACACTCTGGGAGAAACACGCGACACAAAGGCAACAAAACGCAAACTGCTCACTGCCCTAACTCTAAGCCGAAAATCGCAAAACCCCGAATCCCAAAACGCAACAAGTCACCTCTGATCCCAAAAGGGGCTCGGACCCATCTTGAAGCACCAGCCGGGTTTGGCTCCCTGGAATGTCGTAGCCTCGTTTTAGGCTTTTGGGTTTATGGTTCTCGGGGCTTGAAGAGAGTTAGGCTTCGGGGCTACTTCGGAAGGCTGGAAGCTACGAGGAGGATCGGGAGATAGTTCCGAGGTCTAAGAACACAAGTTTGTACTTGGACGATGGAGGGGCTTAGCAAGTGGGATTGCGGAAGCCCAACAAGGGCTCGCACAACTATGATATGCAGCACGTACTAGTTTCCCTGCACCTCCTAGTAAGGACTCGAGAGAACCAGGAAGGTACGGAACCCCAAAATGTAAGGAATCTGGAGCCGTAAACCTATAAATCTGTAACCCTGTGACCACAACTGTAAAGCCTTCCTTAGCTGACGGGTATGTTCTACACGCAAGCTGTTTGAGCCGTAGGAGCCAACCCGAAACCCTAAAGATAAAACCCAAAATACGGAACTGCGAATGTTCTTCTGATGTGCGGCCATCCTCATTGTCATCTTCGTAGGGCTAAAGTACTAGTAGCAGTCATGCGACGACTTGAGGCAAAAGGTGAAACGATAGGCAACGCCATCATGTACCATGGTAAAGTATTCAATAGAGGTTCCGAGTGAGTGACAACTTCAGATGGCAATTGGCAAAGTCACACAGGACTAGCAAGAATACTATCCGTGTTGAAACCCCATGTCGCAGCAAGCACTGATACCAGTAGTAAACGTAGCAGATCACTGCTGGGTTCAGAGCAGGCTCGAAGGACTCCTGCTTGACACCGCCCTGGCAAAGCAGCGCTGCTCAAAGTTTATGAGGGTTTCAGGGGCGCACGTATTGATACCTGCATCCAATACATGAGTTTATGGTGTTGTAAGGAAATCTCCTACCGATAAACAGCGAGTTCGAACATATCAGTGATAAGAAGATGCATCCAAATAGGCAGGCATAGATGCAAATAAATGCAAGTAGCTAACTAGAGATGTTCATAGCCAAATACTGCCGAAAGCTGTCGGCCTCGTCCTTGATGTCCAGCTCGTCCTTCTCCGCCGCTGCCTGCGCTTGCGCTTGCCCTAGACGGTGACTGAAACCAGAATGGGTATTGTCTACGCAGGAAGGGAGGTTTGCCGTGAGTTTTTGTCAATAGTCGACAAGCAGGTCTTTTCCACGCTGCGGCCCAAGTCGAAACACTTCTCAAAACTGTAATCACAGCCCCTGATGTCGGAAATGATATAAATCATAGACAAGTTGTGGTACCCTAGAGCTCATGCCACTTCGGAAGAGACTTGCCGCAAGAAGCTCCTTATACGAAGCGAACGTCAACTGCCCTGGAAGCCCTGACACCCTAAACCTATTGTGCTTGAACATAAGAAGCATATCCACAATCCATTACGATAACTCCAGTAGAATCATAAGTCGAAATTTGAAGCTAAAGATTAAACGAAAGAACGACGAGAGAATGAATGAAACCATACTACGAATGCCCAGCCGGGACCTCCTCTTGGGCTGTCGCCATGGCAGCGTACGGGTCCTCGCCCTGCAAAAGCAGCTCCACCTGAAGGCGCAGGACAAGAACGACCGCACGACTGAATTGTTGAAATTGTTGAAAGGTAGCTAACAGCAACGGTAGGCTTTCGGGCGTTCAAGCGCTTTTTGGGTTGCGGGGGCAGACACCAAATACTTTCCCGCTTCTCTTCCTCAGAGTCAGTTCTCCTCCTGGCAGAGGGGTTGGAAACAGGTACCGCGACAGCAGCAGAATACTTGCACGGCCTTTGCAGCAAGAAAACAACCGTTCGTTTCTGGAGTCTTGAGCACGTGTTCTACATAACATTCACGAAATAAGTTTAAAAGCCTATGTCAACCCGCATGAGGGATCAAACGAGATCTCCAATCCCTATCAGGGCTTCAGAGGGAACGCAAAGCTCCAAAGTGGCTAGACAGGGTCGAGCCATCTTCTAACAATTACTTCACCGAAGCTTTCCGAACTGCCTCGCGGTTCAGCGGCTTGGCATTGAACTCTGTTGGGTAGACCTGCACAGCACCAGCGCAACTAAATCTTGGATAAGGGCTTGAAAGTTCGGGCTTTCAGTCTTGGGGGGGCGGGGGGAGGGGAGGCGTTTGATATTTGACCGTTCTGCGACTTCTAGTCTGAACTATCATGTCTATACTTAAGCTTGACACTTGACAGATACTATCGACAATACCTGCTTGAGCTGCTGTACCTTCTTGTTATGACAAGTGTTCTTTCACGTCACTTGGCATCGTCTCACTTCATTCCACTGCACTGCGCCATCGACAGGTCCTTTGCATACGGGGGTTTGAGGTGTCAGGGTCCATGTTCAAGAAACCACCAGGAACTCTCTCTCTCTCTCTCTCTTTCTTTCTTTCTGCAGGGCGTAGGGGTCGCGTGCGCCCCCCAGGCCTTAGGCCCGCCCGGCCCTCCCTCTGTGTTAGTGAGTGGCCGGTATCGGGGTTAGTCCAGACTACGGCAGTGTATTACTCGGTTTGCTCTGTGTTCTCGTGTAGGAATCCCCCGCTTAGAACACTAAACCCGCGCATCCCGGCCTCGTCGCCGGGCCCCTATGGCTAACGACATTCCTTAGTTCTAAGCGGGTTCTCCTGGCGAGGACAGCAAGCGAGTACGGCAAGGTGTGGTTCCCCCTTGAGCTTCAGTACGACCCCCTAACAGTAAAGCGGTTTCCCCCACCTTGCTCCGCCGTCTTGTGACGGGACACTGCAGAACGGAAAGTGGGAAGCTGCTCTGTCACCACGTGCCCCCCCTGGAGAGGGTGAGACTGCAGCTACAGCTTCTACTGGGGGTCCACACTGCGAGCCTCATGCGCAACAAAGCAGTCCTGGCACACGCTAGATAGGTTACGACCTGGGTCTTAAGGCTGAAAGTGTTACGTTCTTCATCTTTGTGTGGTGTTCCCCATTGGCTCTGAACTATGTGTCATCGGGTTGCACTCTGGGGCCTTGTACTAAAACCACACCGTAAATTACATAACGTAGGGTCCCCAGGCTTTGTGCTCCCCGTTCTGCAGCGGCTCGGCCTTGTGGCTATTGGCCAGGGGCGCCCTTCCACACAAGTTCGTCAAACCTAGCACCTACGGCCCTACGCAATAGCAACATACGCTCCCCCGGTCGCGCTGCTGGCAGAAAAGAAAAGAAAGGCTACTGTACTTGCTCCCCCTTCGCTCTGTTGGACCGTGAAAACATGCAAGGACAGCTGCACTCCCTAGCCACAAGCACTGTAGTATCACACACACAGCCTCAGCTTAGCTACACTAGTCGTCCTGGTCCAAGGAGCTGGGGTTTGAAAACCGGCGTCGCGGTTCAGTTGAGGTGCGTTGCAGAACCTCAGTCCTTCTGCGCCCCGCTGCGGTTGTAGGGGTCGGTGAGGCACTGGCCGCCGCTTCGCCTTCGTCGTCGCTCACGAGCTCGACGTTCTCCCCCGTCCCCCAGTAGTCTTGGGTCCAGTCGTCGAGGTTCTGTAGAGCTTTGCGAAGGTGGCTTAGCAGCTCCCCCGTGAGAAAGGGTAGTAGTGCTCGTAGTTGTTTACGTGCACGGAAAATCTTGAGGGCATCTGGGGTCGTCTGTGCTGGCCTTTGTTCCGGAGCTCCCCCATGTAGTGAAGTGCTATCACGTCAGCAGGGTGCGCGGGTACTTTTTCCGCCTCTCCCCTATGTGGGTAGCTCCCCACCAGCACTTCCACTCCATCTGCGGCTGCCTCCAGCATGTTCCGTAGGCTTCCCAGCTCCATGTTCCCCACGGGGTACGAAGCGATCATCGCCTGAAGCATGGCCTCGGCTTCCTCCCCCGCGTCTGTGGCGTCATGGGTACGTTGCCAGTTGCTGGAGCGCAGGCCTCCCCACAGCAACGCCTGCCCACTCTGAACCAGCTCCATGGTCTCGGCTAGCTCCCCCTCTGTTGGCGGGTCTCCTCTGCTCGCCCGTTCATCTAGCATCCCCGCCATGAGCGCGGCGATCTGGAACGCGTTCGGTGTCGGTGGGGGGCTTCTGCCGCGTCTCCCCATGTTGCCATCTGTGGCTAGGCTGAGGCTCGTGGCTGCGGCGGCGAGGTGCGCCTGAACCCCGTATAGGTCGATAGAGCGTGCAAGCTCCATGGCTTCGATAATGTGCTCTGCTGCTGCTGCTGCTGCTGCGCTCGTGGCTGCTTTGCTCCCAATTGCTTGTTCTGCTCCCTGCGCTCTGCGGTCCCGGACGTACGGGTCTGGTGCTTCTGGTTCTTCTTGTGCCTGTTGTGCTGCTGCGAGGGTCTCGTCGGTGATGCTTCTCATGAGGTCTTCTGCTTGGTGCCTGGCTTTTTTGAGGGGGTTGTCGCTGGAGCTGGCGGCTTGCCCCCTCTTGCGTTCCTCTTCTGCCTGGAGCCAAGGTAGGAGGTCGGGGTCCTCCTCCTCAGTGCTGTTGCCGGTTGGTGCTGTGGCTTGGGGGCTGGCTGCTCTCAGGGACGCTGCGTGCCACGGTACAGTGGTGCCTGTGTCGTCCGCTTCTGCATCAGTGGCGTGGCTGTGGTTGTGGCAGGTGGTTGCTGTGCCCCCCTGGTTGGGAGTAGCCTGCTCGTCTGGGGGGTCCCCCCTGTTGTGCTGTTGTGGTGGGCCTGTCTGCATAAGCTCCGTATGGTCTGCTTCTGGCGGGTCTTCGCTGGGCCAGCTTGTCTCAGAGTCGCTCGGAGGTGGTGGTGGGGGTCGTTTCGGTGTTGGTGCCAGTCTCTGCTGCCTGTAGGTTTGTACTGGTTGGAAGGCCTTGCGTGCCGCTGCCGAGTAGAAGGAAAAGGCCCCCCTGTCTTGTGTAGGGTTAGGGCCAGCTTGCTGGTGCGGGTGGTCCAGAGTGTCCTCTGGGGTAGTTGGTATGCCGCCGGTCTGTTCTGCTTCGCTCCTGTCTGGTTCCGGCTTGTCTGGCTGCATGCTTTCGCTGGCTTCTGGGCCCGCTGCCGTGTCTGGTGTGGTTGGTGTCATGTCTGTGACTGGCTTCTCGTCACTTGTTGTGACCTCCTGTCCTGGCCCCGGGCCTGCTGCGGCTGCTTGCTGTGGTTGTTCTGCTGCCTGCGTGTGGCTCTGAGGTTGTTGTGCGTTAGGGTGGCCGTCTGACTGCTGGCCCCTCGCACTGTTGCTCACTGGCTGTGTGGGTTGTGGTCTGGGGTTGGTTGTCTCGAGGCGTCCCTCTGGTTGTGTTTGTTGAGGTCGGCCTGCTGCTTGCTGTGGTTGTTCTGCTGCGCTGCTGCGGTGGCTTTGTGGTTGTTGTGCGGCCCCCGTTGTGGGTGCTGGTCTCCCCCGCAGCATGTGTACTGCCCAAGGGTGCACTGCTTCTTCCCCCCACGCTTCGTCTGCTGGGTAGATGAGGGGGAGTTCCCCCTCTTGCTGTCTCGCTGCCCGGATCGTGGCGAGGGTAGTGTCATCCCGCTGAAGCTGTTCGATCTCGTGTTCTTGTAGGTGTGCGCTAAGCTGTGCTGGTCTCCCCATCGAGTCGAGGCGTGCACGGGTGAGCAGCTCCCCGTCCTCTGGGTCCATGTTGTCTATGCGCCAGCATCCCTGTGACTGTTGCCACGTGAGCTTGTAGTGTCCTGTGTGCAGTGGGAGGCTCCCCGGTTCGGCTTGGCGGGGTGTGGCCCTGATGAAAAGGTGCCAGGGGGCTCCCCCTTGGTTCAGGGGGTGTAGCTTGAATTGCATCCCATCGAGAAAGTCCCCCCCGCACTGCCTCCTTCCGCGGTCTGTCGCACTCGGGCAAAGCCCCTGAGGCGGGCTGTGTTGTAGCTCGGTGAGGTTTGTGCGTTGCGCGCCAGCACTGCCCCCACCCAGCTTCCGTGCCCTATGTATCTGAAGTGGGCATGTGTGTATCGGCTGAGCGGCAACTCTGGCGGGAGCGACCGTGGTGGCAGGAAGCCGCCCCAGGAGCCGACATACCGACTCCCTCCTTCAACCCATGAAATGGGCGAGTCTAGCGGCATGGGCCCTTGACTTTGCCCGCTGCTGCTGCTGCTGCTACTCGAGCTGCTGGGCTGTGCGCTGGCCGTGCTGTTGCTCCCCCGCTGGTTGGTCTCCTCACTGGGCGGTCGCTGATGGCTTTGTGTTGCTGTGGTGCGCCGAGCGTCTGTGTTTGGTGGTGGTTCGCGGGGTGTTCCCCGGGCTGACTGTGTTGCGGCGGTGGTGGCGGTGACCGCTGGGGCTTGTGTGTTCAGTGGCTCGGCTGAGCCTGCCGGTCTTGACGGTGGTTGTCCGGTGCTTGCTTGCCCCCGCGGGGGTGTCCAGGGTTCCAAGTGCTTGTTCAGTGCCGTGGCGAAAAGTGCTCGGTTCGCCTCGTAGCGCTTCTGCGCTTCTGCGGTTGCTTCTTCGTATCGTCTCTGTGCTTCGGTATCCGCTTTGGTCCCTGCCTGGGGTTCTGCCCCCGCTTGTGGCTGCTGTGGCGTGGTCCCTGGCTGGGGTTCTGCCCCCGCTGCTGCCTGTTGTGGCGTGGCTCCCGCCTCCGTGTCATCGTCCTCTTCGTCGGCTTCGTCATCCGGGCCGAACGCTTGCATACCGACCAGCGGCCCTGCTTGATTCCAGGTAAGGTGGGCCGGTTTTTCGATCCCCCTCCTGGCGAATTCTTTTTTAATCTCCCCCTTCTACCATTTGTTTCCTCGTCTTTGGTCTCCTTGTCCTTCGTGTTTGTTGGGGGTTGCTGCCGTGCAACCATCGCCGCCCCCTGTGTCCCCCCCTTGTTCCTGACAGCCATCGGTGAGCTCTTCACCGGGTTGTGGTGGTGACGGTCCCCCTCCTAGGTCTGCTGGGGCTTGTGGTGTTGTGGCTGTTGGCAGGCTGCTCGGCTTGGAACCTGTGGCTGTTTGTGGTGGTGTCGTGTCTGCCGGTGTGTCGGTTCGACTTGCTGTGTCGGCCGTGGCGGTGGGGCTTTGGGCGGCTTGGTTGTGGTCGTCTGCGGGGCTGCGGGTATCAGCGACTCGCTTGCTGCTGTGTGGTGTCATGCCCGGTTGTGGTGGGTTGTGTGTTCCGCCTGTCGCGGTGTGGCTTTGGTGTG